GCTGAGAACTTACTTTTGGAGTCTGAAAATGCCCTTAATATGCTACATGTTCCTCACTCTACTCGTCACTGTAGAGAACACTTTGGGTTTCGTGGTTTGTTCAAGAAATATTACACACCAAATACTTTACAAATAAGCATATAAACCCTCAGACTTCAAAACACATGGTAATTAAATGAGGCTAGGGAGAATCTTCCACGGTGGACAAATTATTTCATAATTGTCCACTATGATATTTCTTGCACCTTCCTTGGAAGAAGTTAGTACTTCTGGTTTTTTTGACACCCTTTGAGGCAGAATACTGGACTCATATTAGGGTTGTCTCATCTTGTAGTACCTTTAGGAGCTGAGAGCAGACAAGATTCTGTTCTGCCCTCTCTTCTTGATAGGGTCCTAATTATAGCGCTGCAGAACAGCTGATTGGGTTGGCTGACTCTTCTGTTCTTTGGAACATGAAAATTGGATTCTTGTACTTCACTACCTGTAAATACTTCAGGTTTGTCTCAGTATTAGATAGCATTCCCACTAGCAGAAGAATGTATGCATCTCAAAGCATCAGTACAGCACAGCCTCAGTAATTACTAGAAAGGAAAGTAGTATGAGATGGATTCCAAATTTGTCTGTTCTCTTTTTGGAAGGCATCATGAAAGAATGTTCATTTGTCCATCACACACAGTGCAGAATTATAGGTAGCAGAATTAGGACAAGAGCAGGTTAGACATATGGATTGCAGTTACCTAAGGGTATGTCTACACTACCCTCCTAGTTCGAACTAGGAGGGTAATGTAGGCATACCGCACTTGCAAATGAAGTCCGGGATTTGAATTTCCCGGGCTTCATTTGCATAAGCCGGCTGGCGCCATTTTTAAATGCTGGCTCGTTCGAACCCCGTGCCGCGCGGCTACACGGGGCACGAACTAGGTAGTTCGACCTAGGCTTCCTAGTTCAAACTACCTAGTTCGTGCCCCGTGTAGCTGCGCGGCACAGGGTTCGAATGAGCGGGGTTTTAAAAATGGCGGAGCCCCGCTTATGCAAATGAAGCCCGGGAAATTCAAATCCCGGACTTCATTTGCAAGTGCGGTATGCCTACATTACCCTCCTAGTTCGAACTAGGAGGGTAGTGTAGACATACCCTAACAAATGAAAACTAGGTATTTCCTTATGAGTCCCTCTATAGTCTATCATATACACAATCAGGTACTCTAGATACTACCCTACCATCTTGTAACCCTGAACCTGTCAGTTCAAAGTTTAATATAGCCAAAGTATTTGAACAGAAAAGTAAGAGACTGGCTTTTAAAAAGAGACACCTTTGTGAAAACAAAAAGACTAGACTCTGGCTAAATCTATACTGGCATTTTACACCTGTAACTTTGTGGCTCAGGGGTGTGAAAAAACACTCCTCCGAACACAGCAAGTTACAGTGCTGTAAAGCTCCAGTGTGAACCAGGCTACAGTAGCCGTGCTCCCAGCACTGTTAGCCACACCCCTTGTGGAAGTGATTTACATAAAGCACTGGGAGAGATCTCTCCCAGCGCTCATGCTGTGACCATACTTTCCGTTTAACATTACCACCGCTGCTTTTTAAACTTTTAAGTGTAGACAAAGCCTAATAATGTTCAACATCAGTAATTAGTGTAAGAATGAAAGATGTCACAATTCCAGAGTTTTTCTTTATGATTTAAAAATCAAAAGCTCGGCAACTGAATTTTCAAAATGCTAAATGTTGCCACATTCTGAGTCAGCTAACATGAGAATGCAAATATGCGGTCCCAGAAGGGATAGTCCAGCTGCACAGAGCAGGAACACATGGAAAAAATAAAGAAGGGAAATTATTTTAAAAACATATACACAAAAAAAGCCCACACTGTTTGAGCTTTGAAATAAGCCATGAAATCTAATAGCACACATGCTTAAGCAGCATTAAAGGCCACCCTCCCAATCAGTTTCTAAACATGCACCTGAAAGATCTGCAAGTCTGTTAAATGCCTGCAAACAGGCAGTTTGACATACATTAGTCACCCAGTCAACACGGGCAAATGCACATGCCCACTCAGACAGACATTAGCTGGAAATTCAGGCGATATATTACAAATATTACAGAGGTCTGAATGGATGTGCTGTACTTCCAAAACTTTACTGGCCTCAACATAACGTGACTGCAAATTCTGTCAGTATGCTCATACAATCCCATTGATAATAGGTTTGTACCACTGTCATACTGCAAAATTTGGCCCGCACTGCTGACAAGAGATCCCTATTGTTACTGTTTGGATTGTGGTGGCACAAACAATATGCTAGATGCTTTCTATCCATATAATTAGATGTAATCCATTACCCAAAATGTTCACAATCAAAGAAAGAATAAAGGATGAGGGAGAAGACTATGGCAAACTTCTTTTTAAATAGAAAAAAATGGTTGTATCAACCGCCCCAGTTTCCTTGTACCTAGCCGTTATTAGTTGCCAGTTTCTAAAGGCCTCCTAGTAGAAGGGAGTCTGGGAGAGGGATTTGAAAAAGGAAAGGGTTGTAGATTTATTCACACACCCATATGTGCATGCACATAATTTAGAAAGGACAAAGAGATAATTTCACTGTGGCTGATACTCGGCAGATTTGATAGCTGATCTGTGCAAAAGCATTTTGCTCAATACAAAGAGATCATTGAGAGGGAGAGAGAAAGTAGTGACGGGTATTTGCACATTCATTATTCTACTAACGTAATGTACAGAGAAGTTAAAGAGAATACCACATGATTGACGTATTGTCAATCCACATCAGGAAAGCAAGGAAACCAGGTCACGTATTTCCTTGTTTTTCTTTTTTGTAATCGTAATACTGACTCCCAGAACCATATATTTAAAATTAAATAACAATTATCAGAATATTAAGTTATGTGCTGCATTCTTTTCTGAGGACCAAATGTATTGCTCATAGAGCTAAGGAACATTAAAACACTGGCTTTGGACCCATTTTGTGTAGGCATGCAGTGTGCAAGCTTCCTCTTCTCCAACTCTGCCAGTATACTTCAGTCCAGAAAACTGCTGTTTTGTTCTTGGGCTTCTTTCAAGATTGCTTATGGTGCCAAACTGTGAGGTGGATTTGCAATGCAGACAAATTAGGACTATGATGTGAATACACTCAGCTGTGCCCCAATCCACTATACCAACTAGTTTGTAGTATTTTAGTAAAGATGTTAGCCAGCAAAAGACACTAAAAGGAGAAAACTGTCCTGATGGCATATATCTAATACAATTTGCTTATTTCAGATAGATTAGGAGGTTTATTCTGTCACCCTTCTAGCCTACTCTACCCCAGAGACTGAGGCCATACTCAGAAAAAACACAAACAGAGCTCTGTACCAAATGAAATGAACATTTTTGTGGTACTTTCATCTGGCAGCCTCTGGGATCATATGAAAACATTCACACTGCATGCATAAAGTAAGCATTATCCCTGTTTACATGGTATAATAGATTCATTATTTTTATACATGAAATTATAAATGTGATATTTGTGAACCTAATGGAAAGCACCAGAAATCAGAGTATCCAAGCTACAAGTAAAAGTACAGTCTTTTTAAAGTTGTATTTTGTTACTTAATTCTTCCTTTCAAAATACATCTTGAAAAATGGTGAAATAAACGAGTAGCTAAGGTGGTCATAATAAAACCAAAATCTCTTGTTGCTATTGTTATTCATCATAGTTCCTTCAAACTTAGACCAGGCAGCTGTCAAATGAATGTTTTAAAAAAGATAGGCAATGACAATAACCATTCTCTAGTTAAGCCTCTTCAGTCTCCATTGCTGCACAAAATAACTGGGGGGGGGGGGGGGGCCGGGGGGGGGGGGGAAGCAATCCAGGTGCAATTTTTATAATTTCTTCACACATAATTTAGGATGCATATACCTATTTCCAAGCAGTAAAAGCCACTTTCTAAAATGTTCCAGTAGAGTAATCTACATACATACTTAATTTCACTGCATATCTCCCAAGTAGTTGATGCTAAACAAGGCACAAATGTTTGCAAACAGTGACAGGCTATAGTTATTCCTCAAGTAGCTTTTGCCCATAAATTGCAGATAGACACTTTTGAACTTTTCTGATTCAATTTATTGGTGTTATCAAATTCTATGATTTCTACAGAGTCCTGTTTCCAGGTGATGTGATATATGTAGAGTGCCTTCTGGAGAGAGCTGTTAGAGGTGCAGGCTCTCTCATCTGAAATATGGGGGGGCTAAAACTATTAATGAGAGTTTGATGTATAAATCTACCCTACACTGTGGGGAAATCTAGCTCATTTACTTTCCCAGATTATAGGGAGTCTCTCTGAACGGGCGGGTAGCAGCCTGAAGCCGCAAGTGTTTCCTGCCGGATTACTCATTCCCTACGGAATGCAAAGGAGCGTTATCTGCTCGCTGCCGTCCCTTTCTGTCCACCCCACGCCACTTGATACCCTTGCTTAGCTCGAATTAAAAAAAAATCATCTTCTGGGTTGCCAAGAAAGAGGAAAGCGAAGCGAATTCCTCCTCCGTGAAGGTGAAATCAAAGGTCAGCTCCCCGAAAGCGCATTCGCCTCCCCGTCCCTGTCCGGACAGGCTGCACCGCAGGGAGCGAGGCGCATTCAGCCGGGGGCGGGGACAGTGGCTTGTTGGACTCCTCCGCGCCTGGTACAGCCCCGCAGAGCGGAGTCGGAGGAGCCCGGTCGGCCTCAGCTGCGTGTTCCCCTGCGCAGCGCTGGGCTTCCTCCACGTCCTGCCTTTGCTTCGGCCCCCCTTGGCTGCCTGCCCCAGTCGCCTCCCCTGCCTGTGCCTCCTGCCCCGGCCGGCTCCTGCCGCAGCCCTAGTCGGGGTCCCCCCCCTCCCTCCCCGCGCCCCAGGAGCTCCGAAGTCCGGCTCCCTCTCCGGGCAGAGCGGCCCCCGCCTCCTAACTTCTCCGCCGGCGCTGCCTGGGACCGCGCGAGCCCCGAAAAGTGCCGCGGCTCCCGGGCGAGGGCTCACCTGCTGCTGCTGCGCTGCGAGGCGCCCCGTCACCTCCGCGTGCCCCAGCCCGGGCTGCCCGGCGCAGCGGAGAAGTCTCGAGGAGGCTGGAGGCAGCTGCCGCTTTGCGCCGCTAGGGGAGAGGCAGAGCTCCAGGCAGGCAGGCAGCCCTCTGCCTCCCATGCACGGCACAGAGGGAGCCTCGGCTCCTCAGCACATCCACATCATCAGTGACCAGGGGCTGGGCCCG